ACCCAAGGTACATATAAACACCAAGTATCAAAGCATTCAGGCTTGTAGTTTTCAAGAAGAAGTCGAAAAAGTAAAACATTGACACGGACGACGGAGACGGACGACGACGGACAATCACTCATATGATAAGCTCCGCTCGACAAAGTCGACAGCGGAGCTAAAAATAAGAAAATAACTAAAAATGTGCAATTGAGTGTCCTTTTGGCCGATTAGATAATTGTGAAAGGTCTAACACGTGAAGTATATATAACATTATCTCGACAAAATGTATACCTGGGCTTTTATTCTATTAATAATTTGACTCATAGTATTCAACTCTTTCTTTGTTAATCGAAACGGCATTGCTAAAAATTACATTATATGTTTTGTACACTCTGATCTGAAGATAGTCTGCAGTGTTTGTGCACACAATTGCACAGTACAAACTGAAGTTGATAATTGAAGTGAATAACTACCTGCAATCATTTCACATTCTTCCACTGAGGCTGAATGTGAAAACATTGACATCAAAGATATATAACACAATATCTTGGAGGGAAAACAGTTAGCTAGTACCGGTAACTTCAAATGATATTGTAGCTGATAGAGATTTGTGCCTACTCATTAGGAATCAAAGGTTCACTAAATCGCCCGCACATAAAGAATCAATAGTCACTTATAGCTAAATCACTTATAGCTAAATCACCTACTCATTTAAAATTGAGGGTTCACAAAATCGCCTACTCATTAAAGATATCAAAGGTGACTAAATCGCCTACTCATTAAGAATCAGGGGTTCCCTAAATCCTCTACTATCAAAAAACAAGGGTTCCCAAAACCGCCTATTTTTGGGGAATCAACAAACTGTTTAATAACAGTCCACTTTTAGTTACATGTTGTGAACTGAGTGGGTTGATTACCAGAATCACATGAAGCTTAAGTTTATCTGTGAGATTTATTTGTTTGTTTCATAGGATTGTGGGTAAATCTGGTAATTAACCCTATCAGTTTGTTGATACACAGAAAACCATGGTACAGCATGTTGACTGCATGTTTGGATTCAGTTGCATAGCAACAAAGACTACTGGTATATATACATAACACAATAAAGCCCATACCTTAGCATATAGACCATCAAGCTCCTCAGGAGTGGGAGAAGAAAAACCATCATGCGATATGAGCCCAGAAGTCACCAGATCTCGAGGTGTGACATTTTCAGAGTTTGTTGTAAAAGTATTCAGATCAACTAAAATTTATAACAAAAAGAATGAGGAATAAAACAAAAATTAAGGATCATGCAAAACTGGTTTTGATTTATAATGCTTCCAGTGAAAATTACATTTTCAGAAAGCTGAAAATGAGAGGATTGAGAAGAACTATGAGTAAAAATCAGACGATCCATATAATATTTGAAATTCCCAGGGTATGTGAAGTAGAGTTGAAGAGTGTAATATAAGGTTAAAATGATAAGCAAATACATTTGCGGGAGCAGAATATCAGATTAAAAAGTTGAAGTCTATACTAAATTATAGCAATGCTCCTTGTGATTATGGAATTAACAATACTTGAAACAACACCCTATTTTTTAAGATACCAAACTTCACTGTTACTTGACTTACTATATCAATCACAATTAAGACACAATGACCTACTACTAAAAAGTATTAATTTCAATGATAAAAAGAATCACCCTGGATTATTATTCTTTCCAGACATTATGACATTTGATTACATATGCTTAGTAGCATTCCATACTGATTAGATTGTGTCACTGAATTGAGTAGCAAAAAAACCCCGGTGCAAAGAACTCGCCAATAGCTAATTTTGAATATGTCCTTTTTTAGTGACAAGTGAATATATCATTATTTAAATATCAATATCATGTGATTGCTTACTGTATAAAAGAAACGATTTGTAGAGATATAAATGCAGGAAAAGTTTTTTTTAGCAGTACGAATAGTACGAATTGATGATATATTTTGCTATGTATTAATAGTATTAGTTAAAACTAGGAAATTCATAGTATTTAATAATTGGTGGTTTAGTGACATTAAAGAGTTTTTCCCAGAGTCAATGTTAACACGTACATCCACATTCATTGAACAAGTACACAATTTTTAATTATATATTTCAAGGTGACCTGCTTTTTGTCTCAGTAATGAATTGACTACACCCTCATGCAGGAATCAACAATCTACAGTAAACAATTTACTTGATTTCTTAGTTTTAACTAATAAATTAAAAAACATACTTGGAGACGGTTGGACACTTAAATAATGATAATTTTGATTTTTGACAAAATGGTCATTCAATAAAATTGATTCCAACAAATCAAGACCTTTATATTAATAAGGAGACCGGATGGCAATATATCTATCAGTTCGATCCTAGATTTCCAACAATATCAGGGTCTACCTCTGGGGACAACAGCCCCCACCTCCCCTCATCAACATGAAGACTGGCAGAAAGAATACCTATGTCAGCAAGGAGAGACTGACAGAGCAAATCTCTATCAACAAGAAAACATACTGACATTTTGAAGACCAGAGAGAAAAGCTGATAAATGGAGAAATTCTATCAGCTAGGAAACAGGCTAGCAGAAAGAAAATACCAATCAGCAATCAAAACAGGATGGCAGTAAACATTAAGTTTTGCACCAGAATAACCATATATGAATAAGAATGTTTGTATGACATGTGTGTTCAGACAAGACCATGGACCGAACTGTTCTCACAATTTCCGAGAGGAGGAAATTTTAAAACTGGTGAGAAATATAACTTATTACAAAATAGGTACTTACATTTATTTGAAAGGCTATCTCTGCTTTGATTGTCATCGAAGTGAAGTTTTAATTCATCCATGCTATCATAACTGATATCATGCATTGGGGAATTATATTTAGTCATCCGTCCAAGTTCAGCATCTGAATTTGTTGTCATTCCGTCCCCATCTCGTCTTGGACTTTCAGAATTATTCTCAATTCGTTTCACCCTCATAGTGGCTGCACTGGATATATTGGTGCCACTGACACTTCCACCATTCAGAACAGTTTTATCTTTCTCTGCATCTAATACAGTAATGGTTTTTTCACTTCTGCCATCTGCTCCATCTCTGGATAAAGCATCTGATGTGGCAATTGTTCTGTTGATAAAGATGGGTGTATGATAGGGAATGCCATTTAAGGTACAGACTTAAAATTTGGTTTATGCTTATAGCAAAAAAAAAACAGCATCTTATTCTAAATAAATTATCATGTGTAAGTGGAAGTTATAGACAGACTCTCATTTATTAGGCATTTGATTTATAACCAAACTACCTCCTTATTTCAACAACTGAAAATTTTCTTAAAATCTCCATATTCTTTCTGACCATTCACAAGTACAATACACTAAGAAATAATCCTAAAATAACATTTTTTTAATATTCCTTATGGACTGGATATGGCCCAAGGTTGGGCTGACAGAGTGCCCGAACTTGTGAGGGTGTGTAAGCCATACAGCCGACGGCAGCAAAAGCCGTATCCAATCAATAAAGTTGTTATCATACACATTATTGGCAAATAGACAAAGAGTACTTGAGCATTATAAATGCCTTACACAACATATATATATATATGAGAAAGACTGATACATTGTACCCAATAATAGCAAACAATAGATAAATTTTGAATTTAGTCGTTATCTTAGAATTGTGTACGCTCTGATGTAAAACGTTCCGATTTCGTCTTCCTAGGGGAGTGGGGGTGATAAATAGTGAACACCTCATCACAATGCTAGGAACCAAGAGAAACCAGCAAATACATTTTGCAAGCTAGTAATCAACCCTCATTGATTTAAAACAAAACGGTTTTCTTTCAATAATATATCCATAACCTATGCAATACAGCAAACAATAATTTATACTGTGTTCTGTGCATTAATACCATCATGCCGAAGAGGTAGACATAGAAACTTTTGCATCAAATGCAGACTTTGCAATGATTCCATGTCAGTAAACCCTAAACCCTCGGGCTTACCTATTATTTGAATGCCCCGCAGTTTCTTCTAATTCAACTTTTCTATTATTTCCACCACCACCACCACCACCACCACCACCTTGAGTCCTTGAATGTCTTTTCTTCTTATTTTTCTGGCCTCTATTGGCAGGGGGGATTACTGTAAAAAAAATGAATTCAACCCATTTATAGAGTACCGGTAATGTATTTTATTTTTTGACCAAGTCTAAGTCAATGGAAACAATTCCCTGAATCAATCTTTTCTTAAAATTTCTTAAGCTTACAGACTTGTACCATGTTCATGTTTTTTGTGGCTTTGTATATTGGCATAACTTATTTGGACATAAATGAAAAACAGATCTAAACGCCTTGGGCCCATTGGAAGAGGGAAACATTGGTGGACATTTGCAATGTGTATTGTAAGTACATTGCGTTATAAACTGAATTTGACTACCATAGTTAACTATATTTATATTGGCTTATTTCAAAGTAGATACTTGCAATGTGTGTTGAATTTAAGGCAGTTTAGCTAGCAATATTTACCTGGGAGCAGCAATGTTTGTTTTTAATTATTAGAGGACACTTATATACGTAATCGTTCCGTATTTGAATTTGTGTTTCCTAATAGGATAAAAATACCCAGTGCAATACCGCAAAATTACGGCACGCTGTAACGTATTGCGTTACGGTGACAGATGTATAATAATAGTAATTATGACATTTTATGTGGCTAAAACTGTATCTGGATTGCGTAAGTACACACAAGAGAGAAATATATGGGCAACCCGAAACATTAACTATATAGGAGTCACCCCCCTTGTGTGCATTACACAGTTGCTGCCATATTTACCTCTCTTGTGTAAACTGTTGATGTGAAAGCAATAATATGAAATCTTTTTTTCAATGACTGTGCGAACTTATGTCAGTGAGCCCACGGTATGTATCAACTAAAACAGCAGTCACATATAATATAAAATATTAACAATGTGTGTAAATTATATTTGTTTTTGTTGATATTAATTTTGAAAATGCAGTGCACAAGAACACAGTTTAAGTTTTGTTAAGCTGAGGAAAAATGTGGAAAATCATGTGGACTATAGAAAAACTCTCTGAAATAAGAACAGATTTTGAAATGAAATCATACAACTTCACATAAATTATAAATCAGTACTGGATTATGAAAACAACAAGTCAGTATAATTCAGAATCAGATGTTACTGAAATAAACATTTTAGTAATTTTTAGTAGTAATTTTAGTAATAATAAAATCAGTAACTAGTAGTCTAATCTTTACAATAGTAATATAAATATCTTTTAGATATTAAGAAATATTACAGACTAGCATGTGTACTCATTCTTACATTGAGTGTCTGCACTGGGAATTAGTGTACAAATGTAATAATAATATTAATTGCGCGCTGCCCTACCTTTGTTCTTTGGGTCAAGTTTGGCGATTCGAAATATCCCAAATTTGACTGACAAGTCAGATATTATCTTGATCACTGGTATTTTTCTGAGCATTACAAATAAAGTGTCTACTGTGATTATCTTAATGAGTAATCCCCTGTGATATCCTTCAAACCGGCTGCAATTTTAAAGGGGAACCTTCCAATCCCAGGGATTGTACCAAAGAATCATGGGACGCTATTGTTTATGTTGTTTATAAAGTTAATCTATCTTTTGTTATCCATTGTAATTTTAATCCAGAAAGTAAATTTGTTGTTAGATTAGGCTTAACTGAAAGTGCCCAGTGCAATTTGTTTTTTACATTGTGACAATGTTCCTTTCTAATGTACACCCCTTAAAACAGAGACAGATAAATGGATAGCAATCAACTAATTAAAATGAAGAAAAAAACATGGAAGTTACTCATAATTACTTTTCAAAGGAATTCAAAAGCAGGTGTTATGTAGAATGTCCAATAGACCATTTTCCGTTCACTGCGAGAATCACGCGTTATGCGTGAAATCGAACGTAAAAACAGGACAAACAAAGGTCATAGCGTCGTCAAACATCACGTGGGATTCGATAAAAGCGAAAATATTTTGGGGGCATTTTCATGCTTAATAATGTGCTGTATACATTTGATGATAGACAATTTAGATTAAGTGAGGGTATTCGAAAGCAATATTCCTCTGTCGAAGATCGGCCGGTCGATGTGAGCTACGAAATAAAGAAATTCGAGTTGAAAATCAAATCGTTCGATTTTTACAGCAGACGTTCGACGCGCGTCTTTCATGCATCTCGCGAGATCTCGCAATTGTACGAAAAATCACCTATTGTACAGCAGTGCAGAAATAGAAGTGACGAAGTTCTCCATGCTGTTGATTCATCTGACTCTTATATACACAAAATCAACATTATTGCTAATTTGTTTATCATGAACAAGATGTCCCAATCAACCTGATTAGATTAATTAAATTGCTAGAAATCATGTCTACATATCTCTTCCTATTCAGCCCTAATAAATATCATCACTGTGCTTTTAATACGATAAAATAAACGAACAGTTCGAGCGGGTAACTATCTTGACCACTTTACTATGAAGTTTCTCAATAGACACATGGATAGACATGATATACAACTTTAAAAAATAAACTTTCAAAAATCACCCAAAATACAATTTTTGGAAGATGAACTCTAAAATCCATACAGGCTAACTATCCCTACAGATTAACCAGTAATCAGCTACTATTGCAGGTATCACGCACATAAGAAAAGTTGGAGGAGACAATGTAGGCGAACAACAGACGTTTGGGGAGAAAATGATTACAGACAACAGACATTTGCCTAATCTATGACTTTCCCTTCACTTCATTACAGGCAAGTTTCTTTAAACTTGAGCTTTTTAAATTCATTACAAATATAAAGTTGAATAAGATACCTCTATAAATGGTGTACATAGGCTCTATAATTAGATATTTTTTGAAGTTTATATTTTGTAGCAAATGAAAATCGCATAAGCACAAGTCAATTTCTGTTAATTGGGAAACTCACTTTTATTGGAACAAATGCTTGATATCAATAACATAACTGAAGATATTGCTTTCTTTTTAAAAATACCTCCAGAAAACAAAATAAATACAGTAATTTCAGAACCACAAATAAAATACGAAATTGAAGAAAAAAAAGATGTTAAATTTCCACCCCTGGAAAGGTATATGATTCAATGATTACAATAATTTTTCATGCAAAAATGTTCTTGCAAAACTTTGCCCATTTTTATGTAGATTTATTTTGTAACCAGATGGACATAATTTCCCATATTGCCTATAAAATGTCTTGAATATTTGTAAAAACATATGAAAAATATGATGCTGGTTTATTTATTGACAGTGACATTTAATTTGGCATTTCTGTAGAGACATAGTTACTACCACTCTGTGTTTCAGACAAATGTGAAAGTTCTTTCCTGAAAATTTGTTTCTTGACAAATTTAAGTGCAAACTGATAAGCAGACAGACGGATTGTAGAACAGATACACACATACCTTCACATCGTACTATCATAATATAGTTGCGATATGAACTTGATTAAAAAACATTCCTATATAGGGTTGCGTTTTAATTGAAGTTTAATTAAATTAAATTCAATGCAATTCAACATAGAATTGTGTTTTAATTCAAGTTTAATTAAATGGAGGTTGAATATCCAGAGAGATAACATAAAAACGTTTGCGAAGCATAGGTTTATTAAAAGAGGTAGGTATGGTACAATTATATTAATATTAATATAAATTGAAACATACCTTCCCCCTTTACTAAACCTAAGCTACACCAACTTAAATTTGAATAAATATTAATATAAACTATGGAAATAATACGGGTCATCACAATGTAGGTTCTGTTGTCACAAGTCACAAAGTTAAATTGAAGTCGTCACAACGTTGGTGTCGCATACGACTCATTTACCATTTCCGTGTCACTGAGAATGTTCTAGAACCGTACTGTGTCTGGGTGGAATATTCTAGATTTTTTTTTAGAAACTGGTTGAATAGGTAATAGAACACTGTAGGAGGCAATAGAAGGTAATGGAACATTCTAGAAATTTATAGTAAATTCCAGACTCATTATGTATGTTGATGTAATGGTCTATTTATAGACAGTGTGGGTATATATAGGGGAGTTGTTCAGCGCTGAGTTCAGATCGGAGATCTCGTTGAATTGTATTGGAGTTTAAGTATCTAGTTATTGGAGGTTTGGAGTTTTACCGCGTTATTGTACTTGATGTTTGCAGA